AAGGCACATATTCTCAAGAGTTATAGCATGCTATCAGTCATACTTGTGTCCACTTCAGCGACTCCTCGACTCTTAGTCACCTAACCACAAAATCTCAAACTTTCTAGGATGAAAGCCGCAACAAGACCTAGTTTCAATCATGTTGCGCCTTGTACCAAGCCCAGGGGAATTCATTGGTCCTGTCAGTGTGAGCGAGGTAGGTCCTTAGCCTAGGTAATGGAAAAGGAGTCCTTTACTTTCAGTTTGACTTGTATGTATTTTCGTAGGGTCACCACGGTATGCTGGTACCTCTAGGGCCTGCTATTAGCTCTAACTAGTAAGTTTTGGGGCTTACTATTAGTACCAAGCTACTAATGCTTTGGGTCTACTATAAGCTCCATGTATCAATCTATGTTTGCACAGAGAGAAAGGATCCCTCAAAGTCTACTATCACTTCGGAAAGTCTTGCCTCAGAAGATAGTTCCTAAGAAGATAGTTCCTAAGGTTATAGTTACCTCGACTACTTTTCCCTAAGTAATATACACTTCAAGTACCTTGTCTTAGAGGTGGCACCACAATGGTTTTCCCGCAAGATGGTAGGGCTGAAATGGGTTACTTCAAATATTGAGTCATGATATATGCTACCTCAAAAGGTTCCCTCAGATACTTCCACCGCAGACAGTCCACTTGGATCCAGCAAGTCGGGCTTGATTCAGCCTTCTTATTGGCCCACTTTCCTTAGGCTTTGCCCCATACTTTTTTAATCATTGTTATTCGTCTAATCGAGGTGACCTCAAGTGCTAAGTTAACACTTAGGGATTGTTTGGCATATTCTAAATAAGTGTATTTTTTGTTTTTTATAAAATATGGGTTGAGTATGGGTTAGGTTGGGTTTGAAATAATGTAGTAGAGAGGTGATATGACTTAAATAAGGTGATGTGACTTAAATAGAATAATAACTTTTTAACTTTTTAATTTTTTGACTTTTTTAAGAGATGACAAACAAGACCTTAATTTCTGCACTTCGACAAAGTGTAATAATTTTTTAAAATATAAAGTGTAATACGTTGTTTTTGTTGTGTAAAATGAAACAGCTGGACATGAATAATTTTTGCTTTTCCTAATTTGTTTGACTCCCCTGTCCTAATTGTATTTCTAATTATACTCTTCATTTAATACTAGTTAAAATATAAAAAATATAATTTTTTTTATTTTGTCTAATTCTCTTTTTATCTATCATTCCAACATTATTCTTTATTTTACATATTTATGCATAAAAACTGTTTAAAATGTAACTAGTCTTAAATAATTTTATTAAAATAACTAATTGTAATAATTAGTAAAATAAGATAAATTTTTTTTGGATAAATTACACTGACACCCCCTTAGGTTTATGTTTATTACAGTTCTCCCCTCACCTTTTGAAAATTACATCTCCTCCTGAGGTTTAAAGTTTCATTACAGATTCCCCCTCAGCAATTTAATTTTTTTAAATACCAATCTTGCCCTCACTAGGTAAATTATATTGACACCCCTCACATTTTAGAAATTATAATCCCTCCATAAGCTTTAAAGTAGTATTACTAATTGCCCCCCGGTTAGTATTAGTTGGAAAAAAAATTCATTGAAAAAAAAAATTATTTGAAAAAAAATAAATTGGAAAAAAAAATTTGTTAGTAAAATTTTTAAATTTCTGATTAAAAACCAACATAAACTCATTTTTTGAATTTACGTTTTTTCCTCAAATTTACAAACTGAGACAACCACTTACAAACCAAAAAAATTATCAAACAAGTTTTTATGACAGTTTTTAAATTTTTGTAAATATAAATTGAAAACTGAAAACGAAATGATTACTAAATAGACTTCAGATGGTAAAATTGTCGTAAAATTAACAAATAATTAAACAAGTTACCAACGTAAGAAATGACTTATTAAAAGATTCTTAGGCTATGTATGGTTTTATTTTTAGAATTTTTTTTAAAAATTAAAAATTAATCTGGTTAAGAAATAAAAAATAAAAAATAGTTATCATTTTTATATAATTTTTATCTTTCGAGTGGTTAGAAATAATTTTTTACAAATTAAATTGAAATAGCTATATAACGTGCTCAAAAGTTAAAATGATAATTATTTTTTATTTTTTATTTCATAACCAAATTAATTTTTAATTTTTTTAAAAAAATATTCTAAAACTCAAACCATAAATAGTCTAAGAATCTTTTGATAAGTCATTTCTTACGTTGGTAACTTATTTAATTATTTGTTAATTTTACGACATTTTTACCATTTGAAGCCTATTTGGTAACCATTTCGTTTTCAGTTTTCAATTTATATTTACAAAAATTTAAAAAAATGTCATAAAAACTTATTTGATAATTTTTTTGGTTTATAAATGGTTGTCTCAGTTTGTAAATTTGAGAAAAAAACTTAAATTCAAAAAATGAGTTTACGTTGGTTTTTAAACAAAAATTTAAAAATTTTACTAACAAAATTTTTTTTCAATTAATTTTTTTTTCAATTAAATTTTTTTCAATGAATTTTTTTTCTAACTAATACTAACCGAGGAGGCAATTGGTAATGCTACTTTAAACCTTATGGAGGAATTTTTAAAATGTGAGGAGTGTCAATGTAATTTACCCAATGAGGGTAAAATTGGTATTTTAAAAAATTAAATTGCTGAGGGGGAATCTGTAATGAAATTTAAACCTCAAGGGGGAGATGCAATTTCTAAAAGGTGAGGGAAACTGTAATAAACATAAACTTCAGGGGGTGTCAGTGTAATTTATCCAATTTGTTTTATAGGGTAAATTACACTTTAACCCCCTGTGGTTCGCCCCAAAAATACGGAGCCTCCCTTTAGTTTCATTTGTAACACTTAAACCCCTAAACTTAATACTAAACTGTAATTTTGGACGGACGTAACAGAAGTAATAAAAAGTCATAAATGCCCTTAGATATTTTCCACCAGTCATTTTATTTGTATTACTTCGTATCTCTATTTCCATCTTCTCTCTCTCCATCTTCTCTCTCACCGTGAGCTCCATGTCACCACCACCTTTCAACACCAAGCCAACATGTGCATCCAGCTATACCACGTCAAGCTATATCAGCAGACATGCTAGCTTAAATACACCATTTACAACGCGCACCATGCGTGTGGACCATTTTCCTCTCTTGCCCAACGCCGGATACCATGCTTACAACTTCACTACCACCCTCATCCCCATCTCACAACCTCATCACCGGTGACGGCTGGTCAAACACAGCAAACCGAAGCTTCTAAAATAGTCGTAGCTGGAGAGCAACAAACATTAGTCAATCTAAAATCGGACACCGGAGTAAGAAAGAAATTGCCGGAGTGGTTTAAGCTCCCAAAGCCGCAACAATTCCTTACTGAAATGAACCCGCATTGTAGCGCTATTGCACCTACTCACATGGGACTACCGGAGTAGACCAAGACAGCAACACACCGCACAATCACGCTGGCGAAACTAACGCCGGATAAGAACAAATCAGAGCAGAAATATCACAGAGGGGGGACCCTTGCAACCAACACCAGTGACTTACCACCTCCGACATCAACACAAAACAGACAACCTGGACATGGAGAGCACCGTTACCGGAGACCAAAACTAGTCCAGCGCCAGAGAAAAAGACACACACAGGTGCATGAGAGAAACCAACAACGTAAAGCAGCAACCAGGTACTAGAACAAGCCGATGAGCTCTAAACCCACCACTCCTTTCACTACCATGATTGGAACTTTCTCTCTCTAGAGAAAATCTAGAGAGAGAGGCTCTTCGCAACATGAGCTACACACCGTAAGCTTAACCAGCCAAGAAACCAGACTGGACTAAGCTCAAACACAACCGCCACCATGCGCGTTGAGACCACCAACACCAACGGCAAGAAGCAAACCAACAACGCCGACATCCTCCAAGACTGGTGGTACCAACTTCACAACATGATCTAAACTTCCCATCTTGAAGACCCAAGCTGGATAGAGCAATCATGGATAGAGCAACACTCCAGCCATAGTTTGAACACCATATGGCCAAACCAATGATGCATTGGAACAACACTAAAACTTAATACTCACAAACTAGTTCTATATATAGCTGGATGCACATGTCACCACCACCTTTCAACACCACCTTGGAAAAGATAAAGTGGGTTTTGTTGGTATAAATTCCATCAATTTTTTTTTCCAGCACTCACCATTGGGTTTTTTTTTAACCCTCTTTCTCACTTTTTTTTTTCTCCTTATTATGAAAGTAGCCATGGCTGTCCTAGTTTAAGCAGCCACTTACATGCAACACCTCAAACCAAAAAAATATGAAGTTGCGAGGTAAAAGCTATTTCAAGTTCAAACTATTCTTCGCATTATAATTTGCAATTTTTATTGAACAATTCAAAAAAATAATTTCCTTTAATTCTAATTGGGTCCGATCCATTTGACAAATTTATTTGGAGATTTGCTTTTGAAGATGTGTGTATGTATATTAGTTGTAGTGCTACTGAATGGGAGTGGTGTGGCAGTGCAGTGGGTATCGCCTTGGTTTGTTGGATGAAGCGAGTGATAAGGAAAGGGAAATGAGAAGGAGATAGAAGGCGGATGGTGGTTGGGAATTGCAGGCTAGTTTTGCTGTGCGACGAGGAAGAAATCCTGAGATAATCTGGGCAATTTCAGAGGCCTCAATGTGTTTGTTGCATATTTATATAATGAGGGGAGAGAGAAAGGGTGTTTTGGTCCAAAAGTGTAATGTTTTTGGTAGGAGAGAGTGCTGTTTACATTTTTATACTCGTGAATCTCACGCTCTGGTTAAATAAACGGATTTGTCAAAAATTATAATTTGGTATTTAGTTTAGGAGTTTAAGTGTTACAAATAAAATTATAGAGAGAATCCGTGTTTTTGGATAAACCACAAGAGATTAAAGTGTAATTTACCCTTTTTTTTTTTATAATAAAAAATCTAAAATTAATTAAAATTTTACAAAAACAGACGACATGGTGGCCCGTGCGGGGCAGTGGACGCAAACCTCCTTCCATAAACCCTACAAATATAGTGCAGTACACTAATCTTTCTTCCGCTTTCAAGCACTGTTCTTGCGATTCGTCTATTTTAGTAGCCACTCTCACCACCCCAATATCTCCAGATTCTTCACCATCGTTCTCTCTCAGAACCGATCTAGGGTTTCATTTTCTTCTTCTCATACACTTCCCCAAATTTTCACATCCGGCTTCGTTCTCCCCATTTCCTGCTTCACTGTATTAGCGAGAAATGGCCATGTCTGGACAAACCCTTGATATTATGGGGGATCGCCAGTCCGGTCAGGACGTTCGCACCCAAAACGGTACTCTCTCTCTCTTCATATTATATCTCTGTATTATACATACAGGTTTGTGCTTTAGTACTGAATGTTATTTGGGCATTTTTGGTTATGGGCAGTGATGGCTTGTCAAGCAGTCGCAAACATTGTCAAGTCTTCACTTGGTCCTGTTGGGCTTGACAAGGTATTATCATTTTCTTCTATTCTTCACTGGTATTTGTTTTAATGTGTAATTTTGTTTGTTTTAGTTTTTGTTGTTTGGTGGGTAGAGGTTTAAATTTAATTTTTTTTTTATTAATTTAAGTTTGCCGAGCAACGTTGCACTTTGAAATGTGTATGTGATAATATGCGTGCTTATGTGTGTGTGGTGGGTTTGCAATGGTTTTTCTAGAATGGTTTTGTATGCATAGGAATTTCACTACAGTTAACGATCTAATTTGTGCAACTCATGGGTGGATTGTTTGTTGATTTTGAGAGTAGAATGAGTGAAATTTAAACCAGTTTTGTGTCACTGACTGAAGATAATAAGACCGAATTTGAAATAACAAGCAGTGAAAGAATTTGGTTGAAAGATTTGGCAAGTGACTTGGAAAAAAAAAAGGAGAAAAGGTGTGTGAAATTAGATGAAATATAGGTATATTTTATTTACATTTCACCTGCATTTTCTCTTTTCCTTCCCCAATTCCCCAACCAAACACAACGTTAAAGTTGGAACTATAGTTTGAAGATTTGGTATTACGAATGGCCTGAAATTCAAAGTCTTGTGGAAATCTTGACAATAAATGAAAAATTAATTTACTGACAGTTGTTGTCTTGCTACAGGTCAACTTTTTGGCTGAAGATTAAGGAGTTTCAAATTTTTTTTTTCTCCTTGTATTATAGTCCCTTCTCCTCATTCTCTCACAGCATCACTTTTCCCATCTGCATCCCATCTTTCTCTCGTTTTGTATTTCAGGGCATGTGCACATCCAAGAAGCATTTCACTCCCTGTACTTTTGTCTGTGCTGCATGTTTGAATGTTCTTTCTTTCTTTCTTTCTTTTTAATTTGGATTTGCAGATTCTAACAGTTTATGGAGTTTCTCTCTCTCTCTCTCTCTCCCCCCCCCTTAAAATTTTAAGTTCAGTTCAACTTTTACTATTAGATCAGCAATTTTAATATTTCAAGCTTTACCAGTATTGGTAATGGGTCTTTGAAAGTCTTAATTTTTTTTTATTTCCTGGGTCAGTTTAGTGGAAAGGTAGATCTTTTGTGCTTGGCTGAAGATTAATGAGTTTCAATTTTTTTTTTTCTCCTTGTATTATAGTCCCTTCTCCTCATTCTCTCACAGCATCACTTTTCCCATCTGCATCCCATCTTTCTCTCGTTTTGTATTTCAGGGCATGTGCACATCCAAGAAGCATTTCACTCCCTGTACTTTTGTCTATGTGCTGCATGTTTGAATGTTCTTTCTTTCTTTCTTTCTTTTTAATTTGGATTTGCAGATTCTAACAGTTTATGGAGTTTCTCTCTCTCTCTCTCTCTCCCCCCCCCTTAAAATTTTAAGTTCAGTTCAACTTTTACTATTAGATCAGCAATTTTAATATTTCAAGCTTTACCAGTATTGGTAATGGGTCTTTGAAAGTCTTAATTTTTTTTTATTTCCTGGGTCAGTTTAGTGGAAAGGTAGATCTTTTGTGCAATTGATTATGATTACTCCATAATGGCAATGGGATAATTTAATTGCCTAGTAATGCATCTTATCACAAATTTGATTTATTAGCCATCTCAATAGCGGGTGGGGTAACTTGCTCTTTTGGTAAAGAGTATATCCCCTTGCGTTAATATGGAAATTTTAGGCATCATATGACCATTAATTGGTTATTAATGTAACATTTTTTAGGTTTTTATTTTTCTGGTTAGATTGATGAAATGAAATATATGAAGCTTGACTAACAAAAAATATAAAAATAAATATTGGATATGGTTGTTGCCTATTAGAACCAACTCCTATTATAATTACATGTACAAGTGCCCATCTAACTTCTAGATTTGTTTAATTTTCTGATCGAGATAATTTATGACAAAAATGTTCCATTAGTAAAGTTCTTAGACATAGCTATAAGCCATTGATGGCATACATTTTGGAATATAGAAAATATTTGAGAGGGTTTCATATGCCTTGATACTTCATCTGTGGTTTTTATGTTTCAGATGCTAGTTGATGATATTGGTGATGTAACAATTACTAATGATGGTGCTACAATACTCAAGATGTTAGATGTTGAGCATCCTGCTGCAAAGGTGGAAGAATAAAGCATCCATTCGGTTCCTTGTTAATGTTTTGATTTGAAATAAAACTAAAAGTTATTTACTGTTCTCATATTTTAAATTCTCCCCCACATTTATAGGTACTTGTTGAGTTGGCTGAGCTTCAAGACCGAGAAGTTGGAGATGGGACAACTTCTGTGGTTATTATAGCTGCGGAGCTGCTTAAGGTAAAACCATGCTAGAACATTGATCTTGTATGCATTGTAGATACAACTTTTGTGATCCCATCAGGTGTTCTAAATTTGATTTGTATTCTGGAAAAGGCTTTTTATTCTGTTATTTGATTTTTGATTTTTTTTAATAAATTGATTTACCAATTGATTACTGCAGAGAGCAAATGATTTGGTGAGAAATAAGATTCACCCAACTTCTATAATCAGCGGTTATAGAGTGAGTATTCAGTTATCATATTTTTTTTGGCTATATTCATTATAAGTACTTAGATTGGCAAATATGAGTTTCTTTTATAGCTTCTGGTTAGAATTTCATTAAACAAACTCAGAATTAGCTAACGTCGCTAGTTTCAGAGAAACATGTCTTGTTTTACATTTTATTGGGGCAAAAATTAAAATAATAATAATAATAATAACAAAAAGCATGTTTTGGTGCACGCATGCTTTCAAAACATATAAAAGCAAAAACAAGAAAATATGTTTTGTAAATTGCTGGAGGAGGTGGCTAGAGGTTGGAGGAAGTGGCTGGAGAGGTGGGGGAGGGGCATGAAAACTTGTTTTGAATACAACTGAAAACAAATTTTTTTATTCCTCAAAATTTGCAAACTTTTGCATTTTTTTCGAAATGAAAATATTTCCCACACGTATTTTTGTTTTCAGTTTTTAAATTTTTGTTCACAAAATTAGAAAACATAAAACAAAAACGTTTCCAAATGAGCCCTGAAATTTCAGATTTTTAAAAAAAATTTTTAATCGGTGAAAGTCAGTTGTTAGTTTGTTAAATTAGCACCTATATGAGAGTTAGCTTCCACACCCTTGCAAAACACTAAGTGCTTGCCTCCTAATTCAACTCCCCCTTAGGGAGAGTTGAACCCCTCCCTTGGGACTAAGCCCTTAGGAGAGTCATGGTGGCAACTAGGTTAGGCCTAGTTGGGTCCCTGAAATTTCAGCTTATATTGTCTTAATCTATAAGAAGCTAAAAATGTTGTTTATTTTGGCAGCTTGCGATGAGGGAGGCATGCAAATATGTTGATGAAAAATTGGCTATGAAGGTAATAACCCAATGCAATTGTGTGTTGTAATTTGTCAACAAGTCAATGTTTTCAAGTAGCTTACTAAACGCATGTGGAGCACTTTAGCCTTGTGAATGTGAACCCTTCTTGTTATTTTGGTCTCCACAACATATGTAGAGAGGGAAGCAATTTTTTGTGGACTTATCTTATAGATCAACTTTATTTTGTTTTTCCTTTGTAATAGGTATATTAAAGGCATCATAGGTGCCAAACGGGGTGTTGTGCCTCTGGTCTGGACAATAAACGTATACAATATCAAGGCCTAAAGTTCTCAAGAATATCAAGTTCACCTATAAGTCGAAAATGAACTACCGAAAAGAATGTCCTGTACTACCTAATAGAAGAGAATGGAAAGATCATACTGGAACTTTTCATTTCCATTCTTCTATCTCATCCTTTACTGTCGATCCCCCATGATTTCTATCCCATATAACATTGCAAAGAATTATCTTTGAATCCTGGGTCACTCTTTGTATTGGAGATTAACATTAAGAGAACTCATTGCTCAGATAGCACTGCCTATCTATCTACTAGACTTATTCCTGAATGGTTTGGAAGGCTTGTAAATTATATGGAACCAAAAGTCATTGAACTGACTTTTCCCCCCTCAACTCCGAAGATCCTTATGTTTGAAACAATCAAGACATGATTTGGGCTTTTATGCCACATGTTCTCATGGGTGCCGAAATGTAGTGAAAAGCTGCGACATGTCCAATCTATGTTGTTCTCAACCAGTCTTTTTTTGTCTCTTCCAGGTGGAAAAGCTTGGAAAAGATTCTCTTGTAAATTGCGCCAAGACAAGCATGTCCTCAAAGTTGATAGCTGATGACAGTGACTTCTTTGCAAATCTGGTATGCTTTTTTTTTTTTTTTTGGTGACAATGTTCAATTTCTTTTGGCTTCAATGGTTTAATTTACAAATGAACTTTAATTCATCTGAATAACATATCCAATCGTTAAACAAACCGTTTGCACCCTTTTTTTTTGGTTTTATTATTTAAAACCATCTGTGGATCTGTAATACATCTTTCTTTTAAAACTTGGAAAAAATAAGACAGTTTAATGTCAACATCAAATATCCATCAGCTTCTGTATCTTCTATCAAGTTTTTTATTTATTTATTTTTTATTTCTTTAATGATAAATCAAAATATATGGATTTGTTGTAGGCTTTCTCTCAGATTGCTGCTTTTGAACTATGATATTGATATTCTGCTAAAAATCTTGAAAAACTAACTGATGTAATGCTTGTGAACTTTTGTACCCTTGAGAAGTGCACTCTAATTCTATATTGTTCGAGGTTTATATTATTGAAAGATATTTTTTTTTACTAGATTAGTGGTTTCCTTGTGCATTTTTGAACTTATTTTCTTAAAGTTGAGGGTTATTGGTTTCCTTTATTTGGAGAAATAATAAATACATTTGTTTTATAGGTTGTGGAAGCAGTACAAGCAGTTAAGATGACCAATGCAAGGGGCGAAATCAAATATCCAATCAAGGTTAGTTGTTGCATGAGGTTTGTTTATCAGTGAAGATTGTTGATGTTGAACGCGCCTGCATTTTGTAATTAGGTTTTAATCTGTTATGTACTACTGTAAGAGGCATTTGACCTTTATCTTGAATTAAAGATAAACTCTGGTTGTAAAATTGTTTTGGCCTTTATTTAAGCTAGTTTATCCCTCTTTTTAAGTTAAGGTCTGGTAGTTAAAGTTGTAATGATCTTTTTGCTTGTTAGGGAATCAATATTCTCAAAGCTCATGGAAAAAGTGCAAAAGATAGCTCCCTGTTGAATGGCTATGCTTTGAATACTGGCCGTGCTGCCCAGGGAATGCCACTAAGAGTTGCCCCTGCAAGGATTGCTTGTCTTGACTTCAATCTCCAGAAGACAAAAATGCAAATGGGTATCCAAGTTTTAGTCACTGATCCACGGGAGCTTGAAAAGATTCGTCAGAGGTGACCAGTCTATAGGCTTAACATTGTTTTAAGGTTATTATGCCCGCAAATGATATTGATATGCTGGTGGTTGTCATGAGGGCATGCATCTCACCTTTCAATATTACACTCCACATATGTTGATATGTGCAATTGCCATTATTTTGGTTGTACCATCGAAAATAAAGAAAGAAAGAAAGAAACAACAACTATTAAAAATGTGGGAGAGTTATAGTATAGCCTGTACTGATTTCTCCACGAAAATTTAGCATATAATGTGCTTTAATTTTTTTTGAAAAAATTTGTATTTGGCTATCTTGTGTGAGCAGCTCTTAATGGACTTCCTATTTTTACAGAGAAGCTGATATGACAAAAGAACGGATTGAGAAGCTTCTGAAGGCTGGAGCCAATGTTGTTTTGACTACAAAGGGAATTGATGACATGGCCCTTAAGGCAAGTTTTAATGTGTATCCTTAAATAATTTTAGTTTTGTAATGGCCAAATTCTAGTTGTATATTTGTCGGTTTGGCTTCCTCTGTAAGGCCACCACCAAACCTTGTTTTGGATGCATGTCTTGGTTGTATGTAAGTGTTTTGGTCGTGTGTTCATGTCTATGTTGTACTTGTGTTGGTTGTTTGGGCATTGGTGTAAAATCCATTTTTACTTGAAACCCCATAAATCAAGGGAAATTATACATTATGTAAAGTATCCAAATAACCCATGTACAATAGAGTAAAATAAGTTGTTCTGAGAGATCATAATTGGTTTTCCATGGAATTTATAATCCGTTTCCCATGGGATTCATCTATTTTTTCCCTTAAATATTCCATGCTATAGATGAACATACAAAGACATGATTGTTGGGAACTACTTGTGAATTGGGATTGTCTTCTTCTCTTCCTTTGTGTCGTGAAAGGATGTCTGATAAACCCCATACCCACACCCATGTTGTGTCATGTTCAATTTAGTTATGTGCAGATATTTTTGTTTTCTCATGTAAATTGTTTTTTGCAGTGCTGGAGGTTTATTAGAACAGATCAAATTACATCTAATTCTATGATATCGATAATTGATTTCTTTTCTAATTTTGTATCCTTAAATGCTGTTTCAGTACTTTGTGGAGGCTGGTGCAATTGCTGTGAGGCGTGTTCGGAAAGAGGATCTTCGTCATGTTGCCAAGGCGACGGGTGCAACTATGGTATGTTTCATAATTTGGCATCCAAATGGTATCACTGGTTATAGCTTTCTTAAGTTTCTTCTGAAATCTTTTCCATAACTAATGATAGTATTCATTTTAAATTGCAATATTCTCCCCATCCAATTTTTAGATCGACCACAGGATTACAAAGAGGTTTGTTTTCCTATTGCTTGTAATCCTCTCTTGATTCAGCTGAAGAGTTGAAATGATGATTAATCTGCTGCTGCCTTCTTGAAATATTTTGGCATGTCCTAAGGCATGTCACATATTCTGAAACAGTGAGCTCAAAACTGGTTTAAGTGGTCCACTTGCTCTCCTGTAGAAAGCAAGCAATTGGCTCAGGATGATCCAACTATAGCAATAAAGTTGACTGTCAATATTAATTTAAAACCACCTATTGACCATATCTAGACATGTATCTCTTGCTTTCAACCAATTGTATCTGAGAAGATTTTGATGACAGCATGCCTTATCCATGTGATGCATCTCTGGTTTTATGATGATTTCCAATATCCTCACACTATTACTATGTACGTTTTTTTTAAAATCATATTGGCTTATGATGATTTTATGTTTTTGTACATATGTATTGATGCTATTAAAATGTTGCAAAATGAAGCTCCCAAGTCCTAAAACTGGCTTGCATTTTCTTTATATCATCCAAATTGTCTGGCTATTGGGGTGAAAGTAATTGTGGGTCAGGAGAGATATCTCACTCCTTATCGCCCCATTCATCTTTCTTGATGAAGAGGTATGACTTGCCCTTTTATCAAGGGGGAACTTTCTATTATGAAGCATGTTTTAGTTATGCCTACTAGACTGATTATTCTAGTTGCTTGGATTTAGAATAAAGGCCGCAGAAGTTAGACATAGTGGAATGATTTTACATGCCAACAGTATAGGACTCACAACTTATAGTATGCGATTAATTTGGATAATTTCTCTCTTTTTCATGTTATCTTCCCTCAATTGCCCCCTTGCTAGTATTTTAAAATACATTTGGATGATGTGTCAAATCTTAACTACTAGTGTTGTGGCAAATTATATATGCCCAAGACATCTTTTGTGTGTACTTTCAATAATGATAACAACACCCAAATAGCTTTAGTTATCAGAAGAATATTATATATGTATATGTATGCAGGTGGAAAAAAAATATGAAAAGCATTGAGAGTGGAAGGACTTTCATAAAAGGGGTTGAGATTCGAAATAGGGAGTGGTGTGTGAAATTTTGGAAAGATGTGTTGTGAGGGAGCTATTATTGATGAAGGGATACTCTCATCTATTTGACATTGTGATGGATTATGTGACATGGATTAAAAATTTTGTTGGTAAGTATGAATGAGGCTTCCATTTGGAGTTTTAAATAATTAGGGATGTAAAGTGTCCCCACTTCTCTTCAGAAGATTTGTTGGTGAAAATGATTAGGGAAGAAGAGGATATGGTGGTTTGGAAAAAAAGTGGTAAAATGGTCTTTTTTTGGAGAGGATCATTTGTTTTTGTCTTGTGAGGTGTCATGGGGCTTTGAACTTTTCTCTTTTTAATAAATGTTAGGTGTTGGCTAAATTGGGTCTAAATTTACTAGTGGGATGGAGGAGATGAGTGTTGGGGATGGGAATGAAGATGAAAGTGGAACTGGTCATGCTAGATTTTGTTGCATTGGAAGACAAAAACATCTAGATATGTGCACTCCCAATTTGCTAGTCCATCTCTATTCTACATGGAAGCTTTTGTTGAGAGATATACCAAGGGCAATAGTAGAGGTTACTTGTTTTCTGGACTCCATATTGTATAGACTGCACTGCTTATACATGTGAGGAGCTCCTTAGCAATAGCAATTAGTATGTAGCTTTTACTACTACTGTTTTGAGGTTGCCATGTGAGAAATGCATACCCATTAGCATGGTTATCAAAATTGCTATCTGGATCATAGGATCGTATGATCTTAAATTGCTAAAACGATCCAAATTGTTTGTAGGATCAGTGTTAAGAGTCGGATCATAGTAGGATCACTGGGTTGTGATTTTTCACATTATTTTTAATATGTATCATCCTAATTTGTATTTTACCTTTTTTTAATAGAAAATAGAATCTTACGATCCTCGATCTGACCCTACAATCCGATCCACGAGAACCTGATCCTTCCAGGATCCCAATTTTAGCAACCTTGCCCCATTACTTTTGGTCTTAAAGTTAACTGTGTGCTTGCTCCATCAATTGTAGATCATAAATGTTTCAATCTAGAGATTCTAAAGTAACAACTCTCCATGCATCTTCCTTCTATTAGCTTCCTCATTCATCAAATTTGGCTGACTTATAATTGTTACCAATTGAATTTTGGTTATATTCGATGCATTCTTTATTTTCAGATTTCTTGAACAAACTATCCTAATTGTTTTGTTCTTACCCTGTGCTGGCATGTAGGTTTCAACATTTGCTGATATGGAAGGAGAGGAAACATTTGATTTATCATTTCTTGGACATGCAGATGAAGTAGTTGAGGAGCGCGTTTCTGATGATGATGTGATCATGATAAAAGGCACAAAAAACTCGAGTGCGGTATGTGATTTATTCCGTTGATAATGTTGAAATCTTCCAATTCCAACTGTTCCTCTGTGGAGCCAGAATACTTTAAATCATTGTGGACTGCTTGTATCTGTCAGACCATGACATTGTTACAAATGCTGTAGTGGAAAAATATTGAAGGAAATTGATATGATCAATATAAAGGCATATAATTATACTGTAGTTTACAATTCATTACATGGTCAAATATGGTTTATTACGTTATTGTCTGATTTTCCTTGGCATATATTTTCTCCAGGTTTCATTAATACTGAGGGGTGCAAATGACTATATGCTTGACGAGATGGAGAGAGCTTTGCATGATGCTTTGTGCATTGTCAAGAGGACTCTAGAATCCAATATGGTAAACCTTAGCTACTGAATAATACATCTTTAAGGTGCATGTATTAAGATTCAAAATTTGTTTTCGCTCAAAATTTGCGTATTAGTCCATACTTCAGAACTCTGTTATCAGAATCTTACGATTCGTTATTCGATTCACGATTTGATTCGCAATTTTTGCAAAATCGATACGAATCTATGGGTGAATCTATTTTGGAAGTGAATCTCTAGTGAATCGCACGATTCACAATCGATTAACGATTTGATTCACTTTTTACGATTCATGCAATTTTTGAAATTATTGTGTCCGACATATTTTCGACTCTTTTTTTCTCCATCTTTTTTTAATGAAAATGACATAATACAGCTTCTAATAGTGTTTAATACCAAAATAACCAATATATATACGCGATTTGTTGTTATTTTAGTGATCATGAAGTTTTTAATAGGATCCAATCGGATTCAGTTAGACCCAACATATTTTTAACCTTTCTTCTCTTTTTTTTTTTCACTTTAAAAAAGCATAATATATCTTCTGAAGATGTTTAAGATTAAAGTTACACTAGAATTATCTATTACTATTTTATATAATTGAATATTACATGTGTGAAGTTAGTTATACATTTTAAAATATTTTAGACTTTAAAATCAAGGATTCAAAATAATTCTTTCTTATTATTTGCTCACTGTTACTTAGAAAAGTATATATGTTTATTGTTCAAATATCAATATCGTTAATTATTGGTACTTTGGAAATTGATAGTTTATCTATTTGGTTATTATCTTTATTAAGAATGGTTAATAAGAAGTATCTATAAAAAAAAAAGAAAAAAAAGAAGCTAAAATAGTGATCTTGCATAGGAACCATCGTCAACTTCTTACCTATTATGCTACGTGATTATCATTCAAAATAACATTTTCATTGATTTAAGTCTAAATATTTCATATTCATAAGATATATTTAACATCTAAATGTGTAAATATATGTTTTGAAGTAATTTAGAAAAAGTGACCGAATATTTACGATTCACGATTTGATTCGATTCGCGATTCGGTACGAGACCATTTCGATTCAGATATGAATCCCGATTTGACAACTATGCTTCAGAATGACATTGCATTTCTGGTTGAGGGGAATTTGAGATGTCAGTAATCTAAGAAAAAGTTGCCCTCCAATTCTTTCTGAACATGCTATACCATCTTACTTTTTAATTTTTTTTTTTATATTATTGATTAATACTCTCATATGGAATGGGGTTTTTAATTAATACCTTTAAATTATTATTCTTTTAGATATTGTATAGTTAAAACATACTTGCTTACTTAGATTAGATGAGAAACAAAATAATTCATTTCAAATGCTATTTAAATTGGACTTGTTTCATTTTCTTGGAGTGCTTGAACAGCCCCAAAATCCTGGGGTTGTAGCACATTGCACCTGCAATGGGCTTTATAATCAGATCTGACGATTTTATATTGAATGGGTATATCGATCTTCATGGTCCTAATTCTTTGCAAGATGTCATTGCACCTGCCTTCCTTTTCTAGCAGGTGTACACGATGAAAATACAGTTTCCAATAAGGTTTATTGTCATAACAATAGTTGTTATTCTGCCTTTCTGTCTATGCTATAGTCATGAATTGTTGCAAAACAGGTGGTAGCGGGTGGAGGTGCAGTCGAGGCTGCCCTATCTGTCTATTTGGAGTACCTTGCCACAACATTAGGATCTCGGGAGCAGCTAGCAATTGCAGAATTTGCTGAATCTTTATTAATTATACCAAAGGTCCAAAAGATGTGATGAGTTGTTTTTATTGGTTTACACCTCGATTTGTGAGTTTTTATGTAGTCAGTAGCAGTGACAGTCTATCTGGTGCAGGTTCTTGCTGTCAATGCTGCGAAGGATGCTACTGAGTTAGTTGCTAAACTGCGTGCTTACCACCATACTGCTCAAACCAAGGCAGATAAGAAGCATCTGTCAAGGTATTCTGGTGCTTTGTTGTGATAGAGTCCATGCCTACTTCCTCTATTTGCTTTTTTCGGGAGAAGCTCTGGATGTGCAATATGAAGCCAATTTAATTGGATTGACTAAAATGATTACGGTTGTTTTTAAAACCTCAAATGACGTGATTGGTTCCAAATTTTTTTTTCTATTTTGCTGTCACAGCTCTTGTTTGCGGTTTGTGGCATGGCTAGGGTTAAGCAATCTCACCAATAGTTGAATCTATGGATGCATCCCAAAACTGAATGTTCTTGTGCCATAACACATACTCTGGTTGGAATAGCATGTAGTATAGTATTACCAGATGTAGGATGTCAATGTTGTCTAGTACACTATGATAGGTGGGACGGGGTCAATTTTTGCATTGAATTTTGTGATGGCACTAAGATTGACACTTAGTTTCATCCAATTTCGCCCCTTGCGCACACTCTTAGTGAGGTTGTCAAAGTCTTTACGGGGCGAATTTCGACCTTATATATTACACCTGGTAATTACAAAGATGCCAAGGGAATCTATTATAACACTTGATAATTTTAGAATCCATGACACAACCCATATATAGGCTACAATTAGTTATTGACGGTTACAATTGTCCATGGGCAGATTGCCACGTCCCTGTAGTTGACTGTTGACACCCCAAACTGCCTAAGGTGTGTCTATGATAGGTGGGACGGTGTCAATTTTTGCATTGAATTTTGTGATGGCACTAAGATTGACACTTAGTTTCATCCAATTTTGCCCCTTGCGCACACTCTTAGTGAGGTTGTCAAAGTTTTTACGGGGCGAATTTCGACCTTATATATTACACCTGGTAATTACAAAGATGCCAAGGGAATCTATTATAACACTTGATAATTTTAGAATCCATGACACAACCCATATATAGGCTACAATTAGTTATTGACGGTTACAATTGTCCATGGGCAGATTGCCACGTCCCTGTAGTTGACTGTTGACACCCCAAACTGCCTAAGGTGTGTTGAAGCAGGTTGTTTGGTTACTGTTATATTCATGGACTGGAACATCTTGCCTACAATCATTGTGCTCGTCTAGTTAGTGCTTGTCAAATAGTTTGTCCTCCTCGGCTGTTGTAGTTCTTGATTTGTATTATTTAAGACATGCGATTAATTAAGGGGAAACCCACAATAAATATGTCCATGTCCGGGCAGTGCATGGATCCTGGTTGATTGGTTGATTCGGGCATGTGGAGATGTGAAACTCAGTGTCTGTGTCACTTGTTAACATGCGGCACAGCTATTCCGGCCGTTAACCACGTAAAAGGTATCAAGAGTTGTTCCATACATGCATATTACTTGAACCTGTGATTTGTGCTGCTTGCCTGGTTTATGTCCACTCTGGATCTGATAACTATGGTCAAGTGTAATTTCATTAGCCACTGTTTCCTGGTGTCATGGTCGAAGTAGCTACTAGGCATGTAATGCCTCTAGTTAGGGATGCAAACGAGCCAAGTCAAACCAAGTAATAGGTTGTTCAAGTTTGGCTTGAAATCTTAACGAGTTTCAGAGCGTGTTTAAGCTTGGCTTGTTTGCATAATAAGCCAAAATCTCAAACAAGCTTTTAGCGAGCCAAACAAAAGTTGAGCTCAAGTGACTTGGTCTTTTACAGGGCATATATGCTTATCGAGCTTGTCAATCTGAAATGAGCTTTTAATGAGCAGAACAAGAGTTAAGCTCAAGTAGTTTGGGTAATTTTGCAGCCTTACCTCTAGTCATCTTGATTGGGTCGATGCTATCTTTGCTGCGTGATGTGTTGTTCCCTGCTAAATTTATTCATTTTGATAGGAGGTGTCTTTTTTAACCCAAAAAAAAAAAAAATCTCGAGGGAAACAACTATGCACATCATTCCTGATTGGGTCGATGCTATCTTTGCTGCGTGATGTGTTGTTCCCTGCTAAATTTATTCATTTTGATAGGTGTCTTTTTTAACTACCCAAAAAAAAAAAAAATCTCGAGGGAAACAACTATGCACATCATTCCTGAATTTGCTTGCGACAAAGTTCTATTGCTTTTTCTTTGTTTATGTTTTTTGTATTTATTCGGTTTGGCTTCTTTTAAATTGTTACAGCATGGGACTAGATCTTTCAAAGGGAATTGTTCGTAACAATCTCGAAGCTGGAGTAATTGAGCCCGCGATGAGCAAAGTGAAGATAATTCAGGTAAAAGTTATTTGTTGATTTATTTATTTGTTCATTTTAATTGCATTTGGATGTAATTTTGATTCCAAGAAGCTTGATCAAAGTTTTTTTTAATACCTTAATTCTTTGTTTGCCACCAGTTTGCAACTGAAGCAGCTATAACAATTCTCCGAATTGATGACATGATCAAGCTTGTCAAAGATGAAAGTCAAAATGGCGAGGATTAGATGTTTGCATAATTGGGAGACATTCTCGTTCTTGGGTGAACTATGATTATTCAATGAGTGGTAGGAGTTGGAATATTGTGAATTTCATTCGTACGTGTTGAAGGGGTTCACCTTGCGTGGGTTATTAAAGAATTTTGTTTTAGTTTCGTTCGGTTACTGGGACCACCACTGCTTAATTTTGTGTTGCGTGCGCTGTTAGTTGTAGCATATGCAGCAATATTTTTGTTGAACGATATGTAAAATTTGGGAAACAATGTAGTTTCTTGTTTTAGGTGTGAGAATGCTCATTTTTCTTTTGTTTTTTTTAGTTGGAGCCAACATGCAGACTTGATCTTATGAGGGTCGAAAGATGTGTTTGATTGAGCTTTTATTTTTGGTAAATTACACTATACCTCTGATTTAGTTTGAAAATACATTACTCTCTTTATATAATCTCCGGTGACGGCTAAGTTTACCTCCGTTAATAATTTTGCCAAAAGTCTACATTACCTTTTTTCCCTCTAAAGCACATTTCATCTTCTCACAACCGTTCTTCTCTCCTCAAGTTGTACATTGCAGCACAGAAAGTGCTGCAACAAGGCACCAACCACCTCCACATGAGTGGCCATCACTAGCACACTTATGGGTAATGTTATACAAACAGAAATTGTATACAAAAAATCTATACAAAATGATGCGTCTTATTTGTAATAAGAGTACTGCTAGTTATACTAACTTTATTTATTTGCACCTCGCACTCTTTCATTTTTTTTAATTCTAATTTTGTCCAAGTATAAAATTTCATTTCTTCTCTTATCCCTAACCTTCTAACCCTAATGTTTCAAACCTTAACCCAAATTCCACTGGCCATTCCATCACCTCCGGTAGTCTTCTTCATCTCTCTCAGTTGGTTGCCCACCTTTGGTTGTACTCCAACGTCAGCCGTCCACCTTCTCGTCACCTTTATTATCAGTCGTTTATCTTCTTCCACCTCTCTCGAAACCCTAACCTGGACCTAGGGTTTTTAGAAATTGGTGGTGGGCAGTGATGGCGGCGGTGGGTTGCGATTTGAGTTGTGATGGGGGGAAGAAGAAGAAGAGAAGAAGGAGGAGGCAGCGTGGTGGGTGGTGGATCGCGATCTAGGTTTGCGATTGTTGGTTGCAATCTAAAGAAGAAGAGAAGAGAAGAGGAGGCAACGAAGTAGGTGGTTATGGAAGTAGTAGTGGAGAGACGATTTTTAGATTGCTGTGGTACGATGGTGGTTTGTCAGAGTTGAGGTAGCGGGGGTGAAGAAGGAAGAGAGAAGAAGGAATGCAGCGGGGTGGTTGGTCATGGAAGTGGCAGTGGTGGGACTGATGGTAGTGAGGGCTCTAGCGATAGGAAGATTTGCAGAAGAAAAGTTGGGGGTCGAAAAGAGGAGGGATATGGTTGGAATTAAGATGGGAGTTCAAAAGGGGGGTTGTCAAAGAATAAAGGAAGTTACTAATAACAACACTCTTGTAATAATTCATTAGAAGTTAAAATGGTAATCACTTTGATTCATAATTGCAATCGTTTTCAATGTCAAAGGCACATTGAAACCCTAATGTAACCATCATTTATGCCACATAAGCACACCTTGGCCCAAATATCATTGTAGGCACTTGCAATTCTACTACATCATTGTCCATGCCATGTGGGCACATGTGTCCAAATATCATTTAGTTTCATATATATATATACATTATGTCTTATGATGCTTGTGATTGTTTTAAATTTAGGAGTTAAACTTAATTGTTTTTTATCAAGTTTGTGATTTCAGATTGTATTGAATCATTAAACTTAATTGTTTTTGCCTGATTTGGTAATTCTTGCAGGCTTCATATTTGTCCATATGACATATTAAATCAGGATATTTCAAATGAATTGAATTATGATACCATTCTTCTTTGGAAAGAGAAAATTCAATGCTTGGTTGATGATTTATCCTAATCTATTCCAGACGTGATGGGATTTAACTCATTAATATGTAATGTATGTTTGTGTCCTACTTTTACTAATTATGTATTGATTCAATCAAATTTTATAGGTTCCTTAATTATCCGCATTTTTGGGAGTTGTGCACATTACGTTATTTAATATCAATCTAGAATAGAAAGTAACACGATATTGGAATTTAAGGATAATGTCTTGGTTCACTTTGTAATAGGGATTAATGTAGGATTTAGAAATTTTCAATGAATGCACATGGTATTAGAATTGGTGAAAAAATTATCAGGTTTTGGATTTTTTTTATATATATTCATGGATGTGGTTTTCAAGTAAGAAAGGGAATTTTGTTTCAGCTATGCAAGAATCTGTTATCTTATGTTATAAAGATCTTGTTAATTTGTATGTGCTTTTTGTTTCAGCTATGGGTTGGATATTAATATGAATTCCATTTTATAAAAAAAGATAGGGGCCAAAAATGAAGTGGAATAAGCTTCCATTTTTGTATCTTGTCATTGATCATTCAGTTCAAGTTGATGTCACTAGATCAGAAAATGCAGTTCAGGCAAATATGGAGCTTGAATTCCAAAGGAACAAGAAGAGATTTGCTTTTCTAAAATTGGGGTCGAACGCTTTTCACAACATGCTTGTTGTTCCTCCAGGTTCTGGTATCATGCATCAGGTTTTGTTTTCAAAAAAACCTTTTTAATTCTTATTCTTGTATAGAGTGAAGTGAGCTTTGATAATTTCAGTTGGCTTAAGTTTTTCCTTTCAAGCTAGACTGAAGTGACTTTCGATAATTTTGGGTTGTAGGAGATTTCTGATGAGATAAATATGAGAGTAAAAAAGTACCTTAGAGGTGAAGGTGATAATTTTGTGGTATGACACTTGGGTTTGAGATTCCTAGGCACTTGTATTTCTTTCTTCTTCCATTGCCCTGAAAATCATATACATTTGCAAGGTTTACAAGATAAAAAATTGAAAGCTCAGCTTGCTTAGAGAAGAATTATATGGAAAATCTTCTAAGGCTGAGGATGTGAATTTTATGTGATTTGATGTTCAATCAATTAATTGAGTTCTTTTCTCTACTTCTTAAATCTTACATAATTCGTAGGTTCAGGTTCATCTAATCTTGATAATGACATCTGTTGTGTTATTTCCTTTCTTTCCTCCTCTTCTTCTTCTTTTTTTTTTTTTCTTTTTTTCTTTTTTTACAAAGAAAAAAATTTGGGGTTTCAGCAGATTTTAGATTGTACCATATTTGTAGTCCAAATATATATTGATATGTGATTGTTTTGTGTAGTGGATGATGCCAAGTGATGGGGGCGAGTTGTGTCGGGATAAAGAAGGCCCTGGTTGAGAAGTGAAGGTTAGCCAGAGGACTAAACAGAGGGCATGTTCCATCATCTCCTACCTATGTATTGGCCTTTAGACCCCAGATTATTTTGAAGTGATAGCTTGTAATCGAGTTGGGGAATTAGACTTATTTTGAGTTTTAACTCATATAATGAACTATATTAAAGTGAATTTGGAAACATTGAGTTTTAATTTGTGTAAAATTTTACTTTCTATATACTGATTATAGTTTGGGAATAGATTGCCTTTGATATGTGGATGTCAAATCTAATTTTTGTGCCTTTTTAGCTATGAAATTAAATGGTTACAAAATATTTTCCAACTTTGACTTTAGTGACGAAAATGTGTGGTAGATAAAGTAATTTGTCTTTAGTGACTAAATATAATTGTTGTTAAAAATGTCACTATTTTGTTTTTTGCAATCAAATTGGGACATTTTGTGTTGTGACCAAATAAATTTTGTTGCTAATTGTCATGTTCAGTGACATTTTCAAAAATTAGTTGCCAACAGTTAACTTTGACTTTTCTAGACGCGATTTTAGCGACTTTTTTGGTGACGAATTTAATTTTTTCACAAAAACCATTTAGAGACCAAAATAATTAATGGCGAAAAGTCTTATATGTTGTAATGACGCCTAACTTCAAATATCATTATCAATGCCACTTTGGCACAGTCAAATTCAACATAGTTGTTCATGCCATGTAAACACACCCAACTTCAAATATCATTCGTCATTTCATGCTACGTTGACACCCAAATTCAACTACAGCGTTGTTCAGCCATTTTGGCACATCCACTTCTACCACATCATCATTCATGCCACATAGGTACACTCATTTTCACTATATTACCATTCATGCCACATTTGCACATTCAAATCCCGACGCACCATCATTTTAGTCCATGTAGGCACACACAATTCAAGCGCCTTTCTGTTAATGTTACCTAGGCACATCCAATTCAAGATGGGGATGCCTCTAAGGTGGCTCTAAGATGGGGATGAGGTGGCTCTCCATGTGCGGAGGAGCTCTCGTTGAGGGTGTACGAGCTTCTTGCATATGGAAGGGAGGCCTCCTTTTATGGGAGAGTTGGGCCATGGGGACCAACTAGTCATTGGGCATTGTCTCAGAAAGTGTTAGGGAATAGGTGTGATATGCCTTGCTAGGTATCACATGCCTTGGTCAACTTGGTCTTGTTGTAGAGGTTTCTCATATTAAAGAAGGTTAGAGCTAGGCCACCTTTGAGGGTGAGCCAAGCAACTCTAATGATACCCTCAACACTAGTCGTCAATCCACAAGTCCCTGGTACTCCTACACAGGGTCATGTTCGAGCATTGGGAATTAAAGTAGGGGTTGATTAAGCAAAATGTTTCATTTGTTCTGTGTATCATCCTCATGGTAATTTGGAGAATCATGCAATGGATTTCTCTACACTCTCTGGCAACCATAGATTAACTTCAAGAATAATGAGGTTCTGGTTACTGCAATTAAGACGTTTTTCTGCAAGAATAAGCCCCGGTGGTTTATGTGGTAATGTTGTGATGTGGTTTTTTTAAATGTCACGAAGTAGTGAATGACAGCTACAGTGCTACTGGAGCCAGTACACTGTGTCATTGTGAATCTAAGTTCAGTATTGTTTCAAAGTGGAGCCATATTTAACTTCTTTATGTATTTCAAAGTGGAGCCAGCTACAGTGCTACTGGAGCCAGTACAAGGCAGTGGGTTCCCTCCAGTCCCAGATCAGAATGGAGGGTGCTGTTGGATCCGTGAGATCTTAATGCGAACTGTTTAATGTGTAAAACTCGTCAAGTACTATATGCCTGTAAAAAATCACGTTGATCGGATATCAATGGCTATCTCATCGGATCAGTTTTTTGTCAACTGTTTATTTTTTTACCATCTATTTTTTTTAATACAAAACGGATTTGATCACGTAGTTATCGATGTCCGATCAATGTGATATATTATAAGAATATAATACTCAACGAGTTCTACATATTGAATGGGTCGGATTATCGAAACGGTATTCATGGTGAGAGCTCAACAGCACCCTCCAATCCGATCTAGAACTAGAGGAA